CAAGTGCAAGACCCAAACTTACGTTGAATGCTATTGAGCACTTATAGTTGTGGCTATCTAAATAGTGGCTTGCTGGTTTTGCTCCTCCAGCCATGACTAAAGCAGACACTAAAATTTCCCAAAGGGCCCAAAGGAGGGATTTCCAGGCGGAACGGCTGAGACTGGGTAAGCCCCACGACAACCCAGCTCCAGAGAGGTTTCTGTCCAGTTTTGAAGGCTATGGCAATCAGGCAGCATCAAAATTTGTGGATTTGCTCACCTACCCCAAATCTGCTCTTGAAGCTGCCTGAAGTTTCCTCCTACCAAGCTTAAGGGGAAGATTTACCTGTTTGAGTCTGGGCCTTGGTCACGAGGGCATTAAAGTGATCTACTGGGGACAAAAAAAAAAATCCCTCAAACCCAATTTACTGGGTACTTCTCTGTTATGCCAGAGAGCTCCAAGGGGTGCTGTGCCCTGCTGTACACGCAGGCTGGCTCGCCCGAGCGACAGGGCGAGGAATAGATGCAGAGCCTTGGCTGCCAACGCTGGGAGCTCCAGAGACACGCAGGGCACCAGGTGCCTGACTCCCATGCCCTGGTGGCTTTTTGGACCCCTCTGAAAAACCAAAAGCCATGGGCTTGCAGGGTTTCTCTTCCCTAAATGTTGTACTAAAACCTCCTAGTGTGACGATAAGGCAAAGCTTGTAATACCAATCAATAACTCAGAAGGCAGTTGTTAAATTCTTTAACATGGAAGATGACATTTTCCCCGTTCTAGTAGATGATGTCTTTTGCTCTAACGGTACAATATTTGTTACTCCTACTTGCTATTTTAATTTTCTTTGCTCAATTACTCCCTACTTATAATTACAAAAACAATAGAGTGATACACATGAGAGAGTTGGGAGGCTTATTCAGAAAAATATAAGCAGTAACAAGAATCTGTTTCTTAATCATTCTTAACCAGAATGATTTAGGGGAGAATCAGCATTTCTAACTAGAAAAATCAATTTTCTTTTCAATTAAAAAATTATATTTTATTTACCTCAAAAGTGTTATTTTAAACCCAATGGAAAGGATACTAGATTTTTACAGGTTTTTTTCTTCACTTTGTCCCTGTGGAATTTGAATACCAGCACTGCCTTTCTTACTCTAAGTTTTCTCTGCAGGCATTTTGCTAAATATATATATTGTGTGTGTATATATTATAAATATATACTGTATCTATCCACTGATAGATGTATACACTATTACAAAAAAAGAGTAAGTTGTTACACAAACTTTACATTTACATTTTTTATATATATATATATGTATTTATATATATATAACTCTCCCCCCACTACATTTGGTACAAAGAATAAATCAATCTCAGTGGACAGCATTTTTCTCTCCAGGTGGGCTCAACATCAGATTAACACTGGAGGCGTCAAATTGTCTGCATCAGACATGGACTCCATTCCTACTCTCTGTTGATTTCAAACCAAGCATCTCATTTTCTGAACATAAGGCATTAGGAACAGTGGTGGTAAGACAATATGTATTCTTCTCCTATAGTATCTGTACAGTTCATATATTTAAGAGCAGCCCTGGCTCATATACTGAACATCTGAGTGCACCTTTAGAGCAACAGCACCTCTTCTGCTGTGGTTTGATTGTCAAGTGGTTTGTCTATTAGTGAGCCGCACAAGTTATTTCTGCTGGGTGATAGTTGATCAAGTAAAGCCCAACAGCAACGGCACAACACAGCCTGGATAATGCCATAATGCACGCTCCTTCTGGAGGGAGAAAGGCAGCCACTTCCATGGAAAAAGAAAGAAGAATGGCCTAATTAAAGATGTTTCCGCTACATACTTGGCTGTAAGATTTCCATCATATTTTACATACTGTATACTTGAATCCTATCCAAAGGGTTTGCAGAGAACCAGTGCCTCTAGACCAACACAGCAACTGCCCAGGGTTTCCCCTTCTCTGTATTAGGAGTGAAAGAAAAAAAATTATATACAGCAAGATGAGTCTTTTGGAAAGCAATGTTCCTGAACTAAATGCAATTCCAGTGTACTGTAAGATGGCCTTAGGAATAGGAAATTTTAGCAAGTTTAACATCCAGCTGCAGGAGCAATTCAAGCTGCTACAGATATTACAGACCTGATGATCAAGCTGCCGAATTACCTGGATCACAAGAATATCACTGTACATGGTGTCATTAACCTGCCACGCATTAGAGAGCTCATAAAAAATGCAACCCTCACACTGCAATAACGTTGTCCTTAAAGAACGGCACTCTCATGCAAACATTAATCGAGTAATAAGCGTTCTGATTTCTTTCTTTCTCTCTCTCTCTCTCTCCTGGATTCTACTTTCTGCTCAAATGGAGTCTACAAACCCTTGCTGTGATTGCCAATTATATGAAAAAGGGCTGAATCTATTTGGAAGGCTGGTAAGGAGGAATGTCTTGATGAAACTATAACCACATGCACCATCCTTGAAGCATCTACCCTCCAATAGCCTACAAAATATCCACCTCCTGAGCACAATGGCAGTAATGACCTATCTTGGTGAGCTGAACATTTAAATAATTTCAGCTGCTATGTGGCACTTTGGAAAAAAAACATAATCAGTTTACATCGTGTTATTCTGTGAAGCCAAAAATGGAAAAATGTTTAAGGAGGGGGAAAATAGAGAAAAAGAAAGGAAAAAGAGAAAATTAAAATAATTGCAAGGTTTGACTTTCTTGCATCCCCCCAAACTCCAGCTGCAATCCTGCCACGTGCATGGTAGTTGCAGACTGTGTCGCTATGGGGAATCTTCTGAAGGGGAAGCTCAGAGAATGCTTTAATTTTACAATGGCTAGAGTGATCTTGGGAGCCAATGTTTTCTTCTGAATCACATAAATTAAAGCTGGGAAATCCCATCCTGATAGCCTAATGTAATAATTTTCAACCCCTGGGCTACATACTCATTAGAACGACTTTAAGTCAGGATTTTCAGTGTTGCTGAGGGGGATGTGGAAATTCGGTGAGATGGGGTGAACGCGTTATGGCACAAGGCACAAAGGCATCGCTCCTCAAATGGGATTTAGGGGCCTGGGAAGAGCCTTCCTGCAGGTGCTGGTCCCTGCTACCAGTGCTCTCCCGCTTCCCTGGCGATCCCGCTTCACTCCTGCTGCTCTTGCCCCGGCCACGCTGCCAGGCAGGGTTAGCGCTGCTGAGCCACTGTGCCGACGTGGAGGGATGCAGCAGGTCGCTTCAGACAGAGCTTCGAGAGCTGCATCAGCTCCTGACCCTGCTGCTTCAAATGTGAGTACACCTATTTAAGGGCACCTCTCTCTCTCCCTCTGTTCCCTCTATTTCACCCAGTGGGGCCATAGCAGAAGCAGGCTGAGCTGCTAAAGTAGAAAAACAGCTGCTGAAAATGATGGGCACCACTGAGCCTAAGGTGTCCTCGTGGCAGTGCTAATGACCCCACTTTATTACAAATACCCTACAGCCTTCAATCACTGCAAACTGAAGTCGAACAAAGTAATTTAAAAATGGGAGGCTACTTTATTCTTGCCTTCTGGTCAAACCACCATAACACAGGCTTACAGAGCCATGTTGGCTTTTCCTCACAGGAAAAGCAATGTACTTGTCACGAGCAACACAGCCTTTCTTCATTTCCTGCCGGCTGCCTGCGTGAAAGAGCTGAGTACACAGCCCAAGCTGGGCTTCCAAACAAGCAACTGCAAAGGAATAGCACTGAGAAATGACCGGTGTCGGCTTACAGCGAAATCTGAAATAAAGCGAAGACAAACGGGACTGCTGGGAACACGGCCGAGTCAATGGCCAAGCACGGGCATGGCAATTGCTCGAGTAAGATGCAGACGACAAAGCCAAGCTCGGGACCACGTGGAGCTCATGCGCGTTTCAGGGTGTACTTTTATCTCATGCTCAGTATTGCGACATTCTAAAATCCTTAGCATCAGGAGTTCATTATAAATATTTAGAAACACTAAATGATAACAGCGGTGAACTTGTTCACGTTGCTAACACATTGGATGTAATTGTACATTAAGCACCAGCAATAAGTTTCCTTTTTGCCAAACAATTATGTCAGACAAACATCTGGTTGTAGACAACATGGCTTCTGCATCAAACTAATACAGTTCTTATAGACACAGTCACACACATACACAAAATTACATTTCAAGGCTGGATATAGTGTTTAATAATGCTACTGCCCCAATTTACTTCAATAGCTGCAGCAGCATTTGTTTGTTGGGTTGTTTTTGTTCAGAAAAATTAAAGAAATATTGGCAAACAACGCACATTACTCAGCTGCGTTACTATTTCATAGAGTACTGACTGGAAGACACTATAAGAATGTGCAGCAGACTTTCTGGGTCTTGTCAGACTATGGAAACATTCCTTAAGAAATACCCTCCCCCCACAAAGTCAGCATTATTCACTCTTTGAAAGTAAATGAACTAAAAACCAACAATAAAAGAAGAGGAAAAATTAGCCCAAAGCATGGTGATTTCCCACAAGAAGAGCATGGCTTCTAAAGTTGCCTTTCCTGGCAGACGCAATCAGGATCAAAGCTAGAACAAAAAGAGTTAACACTGTCTCAGAAAAAAAAAAAGAACAAGAAAGAAAGAAAAAAGCCCATGGCTCTTGTGCGGCAATCATCACATCTTTTTTTTCCAGTGATATAAACATCTTTTTGTTTGTTAGGCACTCCAAGTTCACGTCTCCGATGTTATTCCAACATTTACTTTTCTCAGTGTCTCACTGCCTCTATAATTTTCTTTTAATTAAGACTGGAAACATTCTGGAAAGCTTCTTCGGGTAATACACTTTGTTCGTGTGTTGTTTCTCATCAGCTGAACTGCATGTTACCAAAGAAGGCTGCGGAGAGTATTTCCTGTAATATGAAAAGATTCTGTTGAAGATACAGGGAACACTGCCCTAGAAAGTTACTTCTTTTTTTTGTTTTTTTTTTTGTTTGTTTTTTTCAGAAACATTAAAAAAAATCAAAAATAAAAAAAGGAAAAGAAAAAGAAAACGTTCTTCAAGTTGTTGGCACGATGGAGTCCCGCTCGGCCTGTCTCACGAGCTGCGTGTCATCCAGTGCACCATTGCTACCCTGTCTCAGGAAGGATGCTCCTCACCAGACAGACACCCCTGCCCCAGGAGGCCACCTCTTGCCTTGCTTAGAGTGCGCCCGTGTGTTGTGTGCTGCTGCATGGTGGCCACTGAGCCCAGCACACAGCCACCTCCTTGACAATGTCGGCCTTGGACAGCAATGCTGATCTTCCAGCCATAAACAGTTGCAGTAGTAAGAGCCATCTCCAGCCAAATATCCACAAAAGCTCTGTAGAATGGTCCATATGCATTTTTGTCCTTGTAAGGAGATGTGCTGTTTACAAGAAATACAATTAACCAAAGGAAAAAAAAGACCCTACTATACAATATTTACATCTAGAGGCTGGGCCAGTATTTGGTCCATAAAATCAATTAAAAAAAATTCATATAGGAAGTGATCCAGTCCTCTGGGACCTGTCCATCATCAGCTGTTGGTAAAGGTCCTTCCAGGGGAGGCCTCCGGCCTGTAGTCATATTTATTCAGTGTACTGGGATAATAGGTTGTCGTGTACACATTGGTTTGCTGCAACGGGTAGAAGTTGGTCCTGTCATCTGGTATCAAATTGTTCTTGTTAAGTGTCTGTAAAAGAGAAGAGGAGATGACAGGCATGGCAATGGTGCCACATAATTACTCTTTTCTACCTGCAGACACCTCCCTCTCACCTGCCTTCTCCATCGTGGTCTCTGTTGTAGCCACCACCGCCTTCCCTCCAGCTGGGAGAGTAAGACGGTACATCGTACTCGCTACGGGGCTAGTCTGCGGGGGACCACAGCTCCTGCCAGGTCTCCTTCCATGGACCTGTGCTCAGCTACCGCTAGGGCCAGAACCCAGAGCCTTCTCCAGAGACCCGGAGTCTCCTGGTAGATGGCGTGTTGTCTGAACATCATTGTCACACAAAACCATGCTGGGCCTACACGAAAGTTGGTGATTAATGGCAGTGCTCAATCTAATCTCTTCCAAAATGCTCATGTTATAGCCTGCGGCTCCCTTTCAAACCAGTTGCCAAATGGCAGCTTTTTCTCTTTGGAAGAGCAGGTGTGCATTTACCTGATCTCCATCTCCATTGGTAGATATCCAGGTTTGGACCCCCCGATATTAAGTGTGTCACTTCTGTAAGCTACAGTATAAGTAACAAATCATGGTCACTTTTGGAAAAACTAAAATGACTTAAAAAATTTAACAACCACGTAAAAATTGTTGGCAACAATAACATAAAAAATGAGAACCACAAATGCCCCTTTTACCATCAAAATTTAGAAATGGCTTTTTTCTCCCTCCCCTCTTCCCCCCCTTCTTTGCTTTTTGCGAGAATTACTATTACTCTTCCCACCAGCAAGCAGATGTCCCCCTCTCCCCAGACTAAAGCCCATTGCTATGCCAGCTGTTACCGATGCACGAGGATAAAATCCCATTTTGGAGGGGGGGATGCAATAATTTTATGGAACTTTCTCCTGCATCTTTATAGTCATCTGATTTCTGTGAATTTGGCTGAGGAACTTTTATGACAGTTTTTTTTTAACTAACCCCTGGCTTAGATTTCTTACACATGTCTCTGGCCTATGTTGCTCCTATGTGCACCTTTAATGGTTGTCATGAAGGGAACTCACTCTGATCTGGGAGTCAACACTAGGCATGTTTGCTACAGCATCCACACGATCGGGACACAGCACATTTAAGGAGGGTATGAGCGTCTCTCCTGTCTGGAGCAGAGAGATGGAGAGGTCTAATGAGGCAACTAGTCCTGGGACCTAATGGTTGTTCTGCCACAACCCCATGCTCCTGGGGGAAACCACTTTACCTCAGTTCCCCCTTGAGACAAACACCTTGTACCTGACCCAGCTCAGAGCAAGATGAAAATTAATTAACTAATGCTCAAGTCCATGAAATACCCAGCTCCATTAGCTTTACTTGACCCATCTAATTTCAGCCACCTAAACTTCAGGCATTGTGGCTCTGTCGGCAAGGCGAGGAGAAGTCTCCTTCCTGCGTGAAGGCAGATGCAGATGAAAATTGCCTTCTGGGGAAGCCCCAGCCTCCCCGCGCCTGCCCCCCCCCCCAGCCCTGGCAGCAGCGGGGCTACCTGCCAACACTGGGTGCCCAACTTTTAGGAGGTTAGTGAGCGGGGTCTTGCCCTGTGCCCATTGCACAGTCAGGGCTTAGCCACATCCCAGCTGTGACTGCTGTAATGATCAGAGCTACCCCTAGGCTCAACAACAAGACCACAGGCAGTACATTTATCTCTCAATTTCTTTGTAATCAAATAATTTTACTGCATGGGGAGAGGGAGAGGAGGAGGAAGAAAAGAAAATGCTTTCTTCTAATCCGATGATAGCAGACTGAAAGCTACAGCTACCCCAGGAGCTGCGACCCCCAGCTTCATACAAGACATTAGGAGGAAAGGCTTTCCTATGGCAAAAGCACCCTGGCAAAGAAATTTCCCAATTGCTGAACTACCAAATAACTTTTTTGGAAATAGGCACTACCTGAAACATCTCATACATGAAAAACGGAGGAGACCCAGCCTCCTCCTGGTCTGATTGCGATCTCTCCCTGCCTGGAGTCTCTAAAATGAGCTCACACCTCACATCACTTGTAGGAACCTAAGAGAGAATTTGTATAGGCATGCTCAAAGTGACAAATATTTCCAATGAATGAGAATTTGTGCCCTCCAATATGAAAGGAAGAAAGGAAATGTCATGCTTTGCTCCTAGTCACCCAAAGAAATATTAAAATAGTGTGAGCAACAGTCTGCTGCTTTGTGCTGGAGGCTGGGAAACAAGGAAGCCAGGCTCAGTCCTCCGCTGCTTGCTATGCTTCCTTGGGAAATCCAATTAACTGCTCTGTGCTTCAGTGTCTTCTGACCCAGCTTGATAAAAACATTGGAGATCCCCTGTAAAAATGCACTCTGCTAAGTACTACAACTGAGTATTTGGGGGAACTGCTCTCTGGCAAACACCACAGGTGTTCATACTGGCTGTACACGATGGCTGCTATTTCCTATCGGTGTCTCTAGCCCAGGATACCCACTGCAGGCAGCATAACCCCATGGCCATGGTCCAGCACAGCAGGAAGAAGAGGCTGAGTCCCATTGCCGCACTCTCTGGGCTCTCCTAAAGGTGGTCCAGCATCCAGGCCTCATCTGGGTCACTTTTTGGGACGGTTAAGATTCATGACATGCCAGGATTACCACCTCTGAAATCTGGTGACATCAAAATCGTGACCTGGGATGGCCCAAGACCATCTTGATGTGAGGACAAAGACCTCAGGACTCTACTTTTTTGGCTTTCACTTGGAAAATCTGTATGAGTTTCAACATGTCCCACAGAGTTTAAAACTAGGCCCTTACAACAGACTTTGCATTTAATTAACATGATTTGCATTTTTTCCTCTCTCTCGTCTTACTTTCATATAACATTTAATTAGGGAAAAAACCCCACAACTGTTCCTTTGCTTTTTTTAGTTTTATTTTTGATGGAGGGCTTATATCTTAGGGAAATACCTTATGAAAATGGTTTAGCGGAATTTATAATGCAATTAGCTGCAGAGAATTTGTCTCCAGAAACGCTGTGATGGCAGTACTGTCCTAAATCAGCATGATCAATGTGCACTGCCTTAACATTTCCCCACACAAACTTATTGTCTGTCTCATTTTAATAAATAGATGATTAGGTTCCTCGGCACTAGAAATTGGTTGATATTTTGAAGAAGGGAAATTAGGCAGCAGTGAATTTTAGAGATGTACACACACACACACATGCATGCACTGCAGGAGAAGAGGCGCGCAGTTAAATCTCTCTGGGTGGGCTCCCGTGCCGTTTTACTCAGAGCTTTAACCCTTGATCTTGTCCTGCAAGTCTTTGCTGTGACAGTACAGAGATGGCCAACGACTTTCCCTTCAGAAGATATTCCCACAACGCTATATGGGTTATGCTGCCACGGTCAGAGCCTCCTGACAACTTGAACTCACTGGAGTGTGTGTGGGATGAAAACAGCCTGCTGCACCCATAGGTGTTCCCACCAATATTTATCAGTCCCAACAGGAAAGGCCAAGAGTCGTCACCACCACACAACTACAGTCGATCACAAAAACTAACACAGACCAGACCTTTGCTCACAGCCCAACTCCTACGAGTGCCTCTTCACCTCAGCCACCTCTGAGCCAAGTTGCCGATATTGACAGTGGCCAAGAAGCGTTTGCTGAAGACAATGCCCTGTAAGTCCTCTTAGAAGGGACAATCCTTCGGTGCTTTTGCAGGGACTTGTCTGTGTCTGCAGTAACTAAGCTGACTAAAGCGGCACAGCGAGCCCTAGAGCTCAGGCTGCCCTCACTAGAGGTTTCAGAGGAGGAAGACAGACTTGCCTTTGCTGCCTGAGCCATTCTGCACTACCATCCTGCACCCTGCAGGGAGATGTGTCAGTCATCTGAGCACCTGTGAGACCTTACCGATGACACTTTTCCTGACACTCAACCTGTATTTTCCCCTTCTTGCTGTCTGCTCCCTCCCATATCAAACACTAATGCCTCCCTTTGCTCAGTAAGCAGGATCAGAAAGAACCAAAAGCCTGATCAACGTTTACTGCTGGAACATCACTTGGTGCAAAATCTCTGTGCCATACACATTATGTATTTCAAACACTGAGGGAAACATACTTCAGGCCGTCATTTTGGTCCTACACTGCCTTGAGAAGAAAGAAGCTTCTGATAGTTGTGCAAGCATAATATTCCCCATAAAAGGAGAGGCTATAACCTGAGATAATATGAAAACCTGTGGGCTGTGCTTAGAAAAAGTGCTCCATTCAACTAATAACTAGAAGCTCAACATGCATCAATCAAATACTTTTACCTGCTTCCTCCCTTCCAGTATGAGCCATGCCATCCTGGCATATTTGATATAATTTGTTTCTTCTGGTCTGTTCACCACTAACCTCAGTTCAAGAACCTGTTAGCAGGAGGTAAGCCACTAGCACACACTAGCCCAACTGAGTGGATCAGTCAAAAGCAGGCACAACTTCAAATGTTTTCTTTAAAAGACCCTTAATTATGTTGTGTTGGCATATGATTAATATATTAAAGGAATTCTCTGACCCAGGAGCTCTGCTTTGTCAAGCAGGGATGTTTTCGGATAGACTAAGATGGATATCGTTTTAAGAGAATGTGAAACAGCAGCAGCTTTCTCCATTATATGTGATCTGTCAACTAATCAAAAGGTCCAATCTTGTTGCCAGTGAATTGCATGTCTATGCCAAGCACCACAGAATCCTGCGTATTTCAATATTTACAGAAATACATAAACAATTTGTTATCACTCTTGCTATTGTATCATCAATTAGTTAGAACTGGAAGAGTCTGAGGGAAAACTTTAGATATCCCCCCATTGTGTGCTGCTCTGCCCCCTGGTATTCATACCGGAGGCAAAATACTGACATGCACTTGCAGGCTGTTGTTTCTCCCAAGGTAGAGCCAAGTGTTGGATGTGTTAAACATGACTGTATTGTGCCATATGCATACATTTAACTTTGTTCAGCTTTCTCCACTGGTATTTTTAGCCTAAGTCATCATTCAGATTTTCCATTTGTTA